AATTATCATATCCTTTGTGATCTACTCGTCTTTGTGATATTTCTAATTTACATTCAAATTTAGGATATTTACCTGAAAAAGTAGTTCTTACTTGAAATGAACCATCTGCTTCTATAAATCCTGACAACCACGGATTGGAATTTAAAGGCTCTATAGATACAGAATGTTTTTCAATACCCGTACCTTTAGTTTTATTTAAAAAATCGATTAATGCATAAAGACTATGTATTTTAGGTGTTCTCATGTTTCCATTTATTAATGAAATAATTAATAATATACCTTTATAACAATTTATAGTTAATATATAAGCATTTACCCCTTTTTTTCTAGATAATGAACCTACACCTAATTCTTTTTGTATTAGTAAAGCTAAAGGTAAATCTTTTAAATGAAAAACTATTTGTATGCAAGGATAATTTAACTTACCTTTATCATTTATTAAGGTTTTTGGTGTTATTATTGTACCATCACCTTCTATAAGCCCGGTTAAATAATAACTAAACATAGATTTATTTACATTTTTACTATTGTTATAAGTATTAAAGGATTTAAGAGTAGTTACTAAAGGAAAGAAAAATTTTTCTAAACTACAACCAAAATATTTTGGCGTATAGTCTCTGGGGCTCTCTAAAAAGTTCAAACTTAAAAGATTACCTGCTGATTGTGATATATTTTCATATAACGGTTCCCAGAATACAGCCAAATTTAGAGCCAGCAGAATAAGTTTACCGGCTAATACTGGTAATGATAATAATAATAATATAGCTGTAATAAATGTAGCTCACGCAAATAAAGGCAATTTATGTCATGTTAAACCTGGTGCTCTCATATTTATTATAGTAGTAATAAAATTCATAGCACCTAACATTGATGATATACCTGATAAATGTAAACTAAATATAGCTAAATCTACTGCACCACCTGAATGTGATTGTATACTAGATAATGGAGGGTAACATTAAAAATTGGGTAATTTTTATTTGGACTATGCCTTCAACTTGAAATTATTTTTTCAATTTTCTCATAATATATTGAATTTCTAATTTTTCAGTATTTGTTTTATTAATACATCTACTTCAAATTTTAAATTCAAAAGATTTCATACCTTTCATAGTATTTTGAAAATAATCAATAATAGATAAAATATCTAATTTTGTTGTAGTATCTAATATAAAATAATTATGTTTAATTTTTTTTCTAATATTACAATTTAAATATAAAAGTTTTTTTATGCAATATAGTATATGAGAATCTAATTTTTGAGTTATACCAAATCCCATTTCATATCTATTTGTATCTTTTTTTGTAATATAGAATGATCCTTCAGCTTCAATAAATCCTATTAATCAAGGTTTAGATATAATATTAGATAGGATATCGTAACTGATATCTTTAAATAATAAATTATAAGATTCAATATAATTATTTTTAATAGATATATCATTTATATTATTTATTAAATATTTAAATATTGGTGAAATATATGAAGATTTTACTTTTAATAATTTTAATTCATTTAATTTATAATTTTTCAAATTTATATCCATATTTTTATCTATTAATATATTATATGCTTTTTTAAATCTTTCATAATTAAATTGTTTAGTAGTTAATAAAGGATATTTATCAAATATAGGTATTATATATTTACCTATATGTTCAATTTTTGTAATTTTAAAATTAGCCATATTGGTATTTTTTTCTTTATTTATATTACCTACACCTATATTTTTTTTTATATAATGTAATACTTGTATATTATATTGATTTTGTGATATTTTAAATATTAATTGTCATCTTTTATTTGATTTACTTAGTGTAAATGAACCATCTCCATCTGTAAATCCTACTAATCATTGTTGAAATCATTCAAGTTGCTCTACATTAGATCCATTTGGATCTGAATTATTATTCAGTCTCTGAACAATTAAATTTTTATTAATTGTGGCAAATTGTCTTAAAAAATATATATTTTTTACATATGATTTAATCGTATAAATTATAAAGTAAAAATTTTTATAACAAATTTCTTGTTTTTTTATAATTCAATTTTTTTTAATATTTATTAACCATGAGTATATATATTTTAAACTAAGATTTTCTTGCATCGAGTAGAGTTTATTCAATCAAATCTCACGATTTAATGACAGCTTTTTTCATACTGTTCACAGAACATAATCTAAGATCATGGTTTGGACTATACCTTAATCCAAAAAATATTACGTATTTTTTTCTATATTTAACCTTAATTTTCTCATGATTAATTGAATTTTTTCAGATCTATGATTGTTATTATTATTAAATGCTCTTTTTCATAATTTAAATTCTAAAGATTTTACACCTTTTAAATATCCATCAACAAAATTTATAATATATTTAATAGATTCTTTATTTTTAGTTTGTAGATAATAACATTTATCTTTTTCTCTATAATATAATTTAGCATTTATTTTTAATATTATTTTAATACTTTCTAATAAAAGTTTATCATTTTTTTGACATATACCAAAAGAATGTACATATCTTAATAAATTTTTATTTATATAAAATGAACCTTCTGCTTCAATAAAACCGATTAGTCATGAATGATTAATCATTTTTTGTATACGGTATATTCTAGATATTTCGTTATCACTATATTGTGTATATTTACCAGATTCATTTATGAATCTTGATTGAATTTTTTCTATTAATTCATTTTTTTCTTTTTGAGATAAATTAGTATTTTCTAATATATTATATGCTTCTTTAAATTTTTTATAATTCAAGTATTTATTAGTTAATAAAGGATATTTATCAAATATTGGCATAATATATTTATTTAATTTTTCTCTAGAATAAACTGAATATTGAGCCATATTAGAATTTTTTTCATCTGTCTTTTCACTTACGTTACCTATACCTATGTTTTTTTTTATATAATATAATACTCTTTTATTATATTTATTTTGACTTATTTTAAATGCTAAACTATAAGTATTTTTAGTTTTATATATTATAAATGAACCATCTCCATCTGTAAAACCTACTAATCATTTATTAAAATTTAACGTAATATTCTTTGGATCCTTCACGTTAAAGCAATTACAATATAATTTGCTTGAGTTTATACTCAGTCTCTGAACGGATAAATTATATTTAACCGTGGCATATAGTCCCATATTTTTTATTATTTTTACATGCGATATATTATAAATTCACGAGTAAATAAAAAATTGAAAGTGATATTTTATTAACTTTCTAGGATTTCTTTGCATCGAGTGAAGTTTTCCTAAAACTCTTACAAGTTTTTGCAGCTGATTAATACCGGTTCCTGCACCTCCTTCTACAAAAGCTGATGCTAACATTAATATTAATGATGGTGGTAATAATCAAAACGAGATATTATTTAATCTTGGAAATCAAATTATATAAGTAATTTCTTACCTATTTGGACTATGTCTTCAAGTTAATTTATATATTAACTGCCTAGCGTATTATAAATTAAATAATTAATTTATCCCAAAAATTTTTTGAAGTCTCTGAGGATCCCCGTTAAATTTAACTGGTTTCCTGCATATTCACCCCGTGTACATAAAAATTTTTACAAACTAAAAAATCGTTAAAACAATTGAAAAAATATAATATACAGTTATTAAAAATAACTTCTATAATATACTTTTTTATTAGGAGTATTTTATGTCTGTTCTTGTCGTTTATAACAACTACTTTGAGGTATTCCATGCATATAGCTAAGTAATAATAAAAATTCTTACGAATTTAAACGGCATTAAAAAAAATTTAAGTGATCTCAATTAAAAATAGTTCTTTTATTATTCATTTTTTGCTTGCAATTAGTTAAAATAATATTTCCTTTATTAGTAAAATGATTTTTATTTATTATTATATTAAAGGCTTTTTCTCATTCTAAAAAATCTAAATATTTACTACTTAATAACGGGTAATTGTTAAGATAATTAATTAATATTATTATAGATTTTTGATTTTCTACTCGTATTATATAGTACGAATTTTTATAATTTAATCTAGTTCTTAAATTTAATTTTACATTTAAATTTTGAGATATCTTTGTTAATATATTTTCATAACTTTCTTTAGTTTTAGGATAAATCATTCTTTGTTCTAAACTGAATTTACAAATTTTTTGTTTTAAAGAATTTCTAATATAAAATGAACCATCAGCTTCAATAAAACCTGCTAATCAATTATTATTTAATAAATTTGAATAATCTAAAGGTAATAAAATTATATTTTTTGAATGATTTTTATTTATTCATTCTATTAATTTTGCTAATTGATCTATTTTAGGAGTTCTCATTTTTCCATTTATTAAATTAATTATTATTTCTAAAGATTTTACAGTTGTAAATCTTAATTCTATACTATTTGTTTTTCTTTTTACTATAAAACCTTTACCAATATATTTTAATAATTTTTCAGCTAATGGTTTATCTTTTATATTAAATGTTATTCCTAAACAAACTTTATTTTTGTTATTTATTGAAATATATCCATCACCTTCAATTAATCCTGCTAAATAAGAATTTAAACATAATCTATTTTTATTTTTATTTATACCTTGATTCATCGAACTTAAAAATCTTTTTTGAATTATAAAAATATTTTTTTTTAATTGAGATCTAAAATTTTTTTTTCCTATTTTTGCCATATCTGGTGATCCTATCATTATAGGTAAAAAATAATTACCAAATCCACCTATTAATGCTGGCATTATTAAAAAAAATATCATTAAAAAAGCATGTGCAGTTATTATTACATTATATAATTGATAATTTCCTTGTAAATATTGTATACCAGGTCCAGCTAATTCTAGTCTTATTAATACTGATAATGCTGTACCTATTAAACCTGAAAATAAAGCAAATATTAAATATAATACACCTATATCTTTAGCATTTGTTGAAAATATTCATCTTAACATCATTATTACACCTCAGGTGTTAATATATATGAACAATATTGTTTTTTTATACTCTATACGGAAAAAGTGAGACTTGAACTCACAACAATCATATAATTGTGAAACTTAGCAGGTTTCTACCTTACCAATTAGGTTATTTTTCCACGTTATAACAAGGATTTGAACCCTGATCTTGATGCTTAACAGGCATCGGCTTTTCCTATTAAGCTATTATAACTATTATTTATTTTTTTATTCCCCCTTATTATGGACGGGCACCTGGATTTGGTGTCTCTGAAAATAAATTTGCATATACACGGGCACCGGGTGTTGGTGTTTATTGTTTTGCATATAAAAATATATGAGCACTTAAAACTCATATGGTGATAATTTTTCAAAATCGGGTTTATTAATAGGTAAAAATAAATTTATTGTTAATAATAATATAATAAATAAAGGAGTAAATATTAAATAAGTTAAAAATGTATTCATTCCAATAATTGTTTAATCATTTATTTATGTTTTATTTTTCATTTTCGGATTGGCTAGAGTTGAACTAGCAATCTTCTAATCCCAAATTAGACTCGTTATCCTATTACGCTACAATCCGATATTCGGATAGACTGGGATTTGAACCCAGATGGTAATAAACCTTCTTATTTCAAGTAAGATACCTTAAACCAATTCAGTCATCTATCCATGGAGATAAAGAGAATTGAACTCTTACTACAGATATGCAAGACCTGTGTACTACCAATTATACTATATCCCCTTTTTACGAGTAGCCCGATTTGAACGGGCATAATCTACTTGGAAGGAAGAGAGTCTACCATTAACCTATACTCGCAATCAAATTGGATGTAGCCAAATAGGTAAGGCAATGGATCTTGGTTTCATCATTTGGGAGTTCGAATCTCTCCATCCAAAAAGTTGGATAGTTTAAAGGTAAAACAGCCGTATCATAAACGGTTAATAAGGTTTCGATTACCTTTCCAACTATTTGCTTCGAAGATGACTTGAACATCTTCCCTAGAGTTTTCAGCCCTATGCTCTACCAAGTTGAGCTATCGAAGCCATTGAGAATATTGGGATTTGAACCCAAATAATACAAATTAAAAGTTTGTTACTCTACCAATTAAGTTATATTCCCATGGTTTTGTAGCTTAAGGAAAGCTAAGATTTGTCGAGTCTTATGTTGCCGTCTCGTAAACGGTCAAAACCGAAATTAGGATTAAGTAGAATTGAACTACTATCAACCAATTATCAATTGGTTACTTTACCATTAAGTTATAATCCTTATTAACTCCAACCCGATTTGAACGGGTATTTTTTAAATGAAAATTAAATGTCTTAACCCTTTGACCATGGAGTCTGGGTAAATGATAGAATTGAACTATCTCTTTAAGATCATGAGCCTTATGTGCATTCCTTTACACCTATTCACCTTAAGGAAAAGAAGAATTGAACTTCTACTTTTACCGTTATGAGCGGTATGCTCTACCAATTAAGCTATTCCCTCAACTGAGAAGTAAGGGATTCGAACCCTTTATGGTTTTACCGCCTTTTTTACAGAAAGGTTGGAGATCCAAACTCCATACTTCTCTTGCTTTACCTACTGAGGGAGTTGAACCCTCAACATCAATGATGCGGCGCTTTTAAAGCGTCTGAGTTTACCAATTTCTCCAAGTAGGCTGAGTCATCCAACATTTCGTTATTAACGGATTAACTGTATCTCATATACCCATCGTATCTCATATACCGTATATTATCAATATACACCCACCATTGCTGTTACCGTATATTATCAATATACACCCACCATTGCTGTTACTATTCAATACTTTTTTTCAGTTTTCTAATTTTTACTTTTTCAGATTTCTTGCTTTTTTGTTTTTTTTTGTTCCTTTTATTTATTTTTATATATTATTATTTTTTATTATTCATGAAGGTTTTGGTAAATATCGTATATTTACGGAAAAATGGTAATAAAATTGGAGAGGTAATAATATCATAAAATAAAATATTATTGTTGTTAATTATACTTTGGTCGAGATAATAAAAATATATTAATTATAATTATATTCAAATCAGGTATATTTAATTATATAAAATTTATTGAATTATATTATTATTATATTACTTATATGGTATTATTGAATACTTTATTTTTCATAATCAATAATTATATTACGTTTAATTTTTATACCATCATTAACGTGAATCACCATAATATATTCAAAGCCCTTTTGATAAAGGGTTTGGGATTAGATAAAAGAAAAATGTATCAAGAATTATATTTATAAAGGTAAGTAATTGGTCCAATATATTATTTTATATTAAACATAAATTTATCATATTGATTTACCATACATTTATTGTATGTAAAAAAAAATAAAATTTTAGGTCCAAATTGGTCGCCTTCGACCCGAGTGAAACGAGTCACAGAGAAGGTTCCTCGGGGAACATGAGATTTATCGATGGAGGGGTTATATCTTTAAGAGTCAATAGTTATTCTAATAATAGCAAATATATAAGAAACAAAAATAGATGAAAATATCAGTAGATAAAGGATAAAGGGGAGTATATAGTAATTAATATAAATATAATCAAATTTAAAAATATATCACTGGCACCACTATTTAATATTATTAAGTTTATTACAGGTTTTGTTTTATAATAAAAATATTTTGATGAATTTTATATTATTATTAGTTACAAGTTTAATTTATTGTAATATAAAGTTCAATTATAATTGAACAGATCAAATATAAACAAATAAGTAAAAGGATAAAATAATAAAACCGTAAATATTTAACAAGCTCTAGTTCAGATAAACATATAACGAGATAATATAAAGATGAAGTAATCTAAGAAACACGAATATAATGGCTTAAAATGTAATATATATATAAACAACATAATTGTAAATTATGGGTATTAAATAATGAAATAATTTGACCAATTTTATGCTATGATAAATAATCACTCTAATCAATTATTTTAGTACCATAAAAAATAAAAATAATCGTACTTTTAGATATTTTCATGTTATTATAATTTTTGGTTTTATACGTCATTTAAAGGTAAATCATCAATATATTCATTTAATTATCTGTCCATCTATAGAAGGTAAATAAAAATAAATATCTGAGATACTATTATATGATTAAATATATTAGTTGAATAAATATAATCCATTTTTTTTACCCCCATTTTCATAATTTTATATAATAAAATATTTATTTATGTATAGTAATTTAAAGGTAAATCAAATTTTTTATCATAAAATTATCTGGGCATCTATAGAAGATTAAAAAAATAAATATCCCATATCAATATATATTTTAAAACAGTTATTAAAAATAACTTTCAACAATTCCTATTTTGTTAACTATGCTATTCAATATAAAATGTCCACTAGGGCTATCGAGTTTCACGATGACTTTCCTATTAAAAATAATAAAATTAATTAATAAAATATTTAGATTTTTCAAGGTTAAAACTTAAATCAAACTCTTTATAAATAGGAGGTATAGGAATAATTAATTCATCATTATTATTAAGTAAAATAATATTATTCTCAATAATAAAATTATTATCCTGAATATAATTAAGTATATGATTATGAAAAGATTCAATAAATTTATTATCAATATATAATGAAACAAAAGCTTCACAAACTTGTACATATAATTTACCCATATTATCAGCTGTAGTACCAAAACAATCATGTATAGTAACAATATTATTGGAAGATTTAATTTTAATATTTAAAAATTGAGATTGATTATCATGAAAATAATTATTTAATACATAACATATTACTGATGCATCCATTGAATGTATAAAATTTGGCATAAAAGCTAATATTTGTTTTTGTTTATTAATTAAATCAGTAGGTTTTCTAATATTAATTTTTTTTCGTTTACCTATAGTACTAACGGAAATTCTTTTAGTTTCAAATTTAATATATTTTTGTTTTATTAATAGACCAGGGGGTGTATATCAAATAATAGGTAGATTTAGATTATTTAATAAACTAGCAATTTTTTTAAAATAATCGACTATAATTTTTAATTCTTTATTGTTATTAAACAAAATAAAATATATTATTTTTCCTAATTTAGATAAATCATCATTATCTAAATAATAATTTGTTTCTGGTATATAATAATGATTAATTTTTATTTTAGTTATAGGATTTAAAGGATTAGATATTTCTATTAATTTTATTTTAAAATGTTCTTTTAATTGATCTATAAGTCCAATTATACTTATATTATATGGTATAGTCATAATAGATTTTTTAATAAATTTTCTATCAACAATTAAATTAGCTAACTTATAATATTGTTTGTCTTTTTTAATTAAATCTTTAATTTCTTTATTAATTAATTTAGCACAATATGAATATAAATCTTTAGGCTTATTTAAATTAGTAGATTCTAATAAATTAGTATAATTAGCTAGATTTATATTATTTATCATAGCAGCTAAATGTTGTAATCCTGAACAAGTACAATCTTTATATATTATAATATGATGAAAATTTAGTTTATTTTCTTTTATATTTTTATATTCTAAAACTGCACCTAAAAACATAAAAATATCTTTTGCATTAGATCAAAATTCATATTTCATTTCTAAAATATTCTTTTCATTATTTTTAATCCAATTTAATCTATCATTAATTGATAATTTATCTAAACCATAACAATTTGCTATATATATTTTTAATTCTTTCATACTTTCTTCTGTTATTTTACCTCCATCTTTAAATATTAATAAACTTTTAGCTAATTCTGTACCTTGTGGATTTAAATAATTTGGTATTGGATAAAATCTACCTCTAAAATCCATATGATATGGAAAATAAATAGTAGATACATCTTTATAAATATTGGCTAATAATAAAATATTTTGTTGATGCAAGTATTTACTGTTATTAGACTCATCATTTTCTATATATTTAATTAAAAGAATATCTTTATAATTATTAATATAATCCAACAATACGTTATTAATTTTAAATTTTACCTGAGATAATTTATTTATATATTTTGAATACATTGAATAATTATTATTTTTATTTATTATAGGATTTTCAATAGATTTTATAAAATAAGAATTTTTATTTTTATTTAATAGATAACCTCCTATATTTTTATCAGATCATAATTGAGGTTTTATTATCATAGGTAAATTAGTAATAATTCCTAATTCTAAATTGTTTAATAATAATTTATCATTATATATTTTTATTATAGCATATTTAATATATGAATCACCTTTATTTTTTATAACTAATTTGATAATCTTTTGTTTTTCTAATACTTCTAATATAGTTGAACCAACTTTAAGATAATATTCATCTTGAATAAAATTATCACATTCTTTTAAATACTCTTCAAATGTTATTGTATTATTTATATTTGATTTTTTATAACGCTTAAATAACATTTTCATTGTTAGATTTTTACCAATAATTATACTAAAATTTGTTCTATCTAATTCATTATTAATTATTAAATTTGAAATTATTTTTAATAATATATAATGTAAACTATTATATAAATTTAATTCTTCTAATGGTAATATTTCATTTTTATGTCTATTTGCTTTATTATTAGATAAATATAGTTTTAGTTCTTCTACACAAGATTCCAAATATTTATTTATTATATAAAATCTATCTTGTTCTTTATATACCGATAATTTTGATTTTATTTTATATTCATCTATATTGATAAAATTTTCAATCTTTAATTGTTTTTCTTTTAAAGTCAATTTATGTGATTTAAGTATACTTCTTATTAATTTAATTAATTGTTTTTCTTTATTTATTATTAATTTATTTTGATTTATGTTATTGAAGACGGTTTTTTATTAGTATAAAATCTTTTAAAGAATTCGTATATTTAAATTTTACATCAGATTAGGGGGTCAGCCTTTCCAATATCTAGTATAAAGATAATATTCAAAAGTAGTTACATCTCCTACAAAGTCTTCACATATTATGATTGAATTTACTAGCAATAAATATAATAAAAACTTGAATATTTAAAGATTACCCTATTATAATTGGGCCTTATTATATTTTTCCATTCAAAGACCATAATAAGAATTTTTTAAAGAAAATATTTTACCCCCTCTTCATATATCAATTCCGTTTATCTATGATAAACATTTTTTTTAGTATATTTATAGGGGGATTTTTAAAATTTTTTTTCTTCTATAGATGCCCAGATAATAATTTAACATATTCTAAAATTTCCTTTAAATTACTAA